TCCAGACAATTTGTTGAGTCTCCTGTGTGATCATCTCAGCAGTAGTTCCTCCTATGGAGACTGTGGTGACTAGGACAGGGAGCCAGCCCCACAGAGCTCACTGTCTGGTAGGAGAGACAGACACATACACAGGTAAACTCTACACATGCAGTACGGGCTGGGAATGCATACTGGGGAGGTGCTCAGGGATCAGGATGTGTTTAGCCATCAGCAATTCACCTGTCTGTATTATATAGCAGCAGAGCATGACCCACAAGGCTGGGTGGTAAGCTGGGGCTAGATCGTGACAACCACATACTCCATAGTTTGAACATTTGCAAAAAAGCCAAAAGAGATGCCACAAAGACATCTCTGTGTTAAGAGAAAATTGTTATTTTAATTAAGAAAGGAACTAAGAAATATGCTGGGTTTCCTATCACACCTTTTTTGGCTGCAGTTTTGGCCTCTACTTCTGTCTATTGGCCTCTATGATGTCCTATAACTAGGTCACAACATCACGCTTATGCTGCATGACACAGAGTCTGGGTATACGGTGCACAGAAAACAAGAGTGTAGAAGAGAGGGTTGGCCTAGAAGATGGAGAGGAATGTAGCAGTTTAGTCCAAAAACTCCAGTCACAGATTCTTTGGCCAATTCCAGAGCAGAGAGGCTAGAGGCTGAGAGCGAGAGCAGACACTGGCAAGAACCCTGCACTAAGGCACCTAGGCCTCCACACCCCACTAAAGCAAAGAAAGGCTTATGGCTCTTGTCTATGCTCCAAAACACAGGAAAAAAGACTGTTCTAGCAAACTTGCATGAACATAAGACTAACATAAATAACCTCCTCCTCAATTTGAGTTGTTATTAAATTCCAGGCCAATCAGATTTTGTCTCCAATAGACACTTTGTCATGAAGTTGCCTTTGGTTACTGCCTGGTAGGACAGAAAAAATTCATTTTTTTCTTCCTTTTAATGACTACAAATGACAGAATGTCTATTCTTCCTGAAACACTTAATTAACTTTTAATCAACTGTAAATTAGGAGCTAATTTCAAAACATTCCTTATACTTAACTTTGGAGGAACATTTGGGCTTATAATTTAGTACAGATGTCTCAGATTCTGAGAATTCACAGAGTTACCGAGCTAAGTGCCTTCCTGCTGGGGAGATCCAACCCCAGAACAGCCCCATCTTCCTTCCAGCCTTGCAGAAATGTTCTCCTCAGCTTCTTGCAGGGAGAAGGCAAGGTGTGCAATCCCCATTTTCAGAGGAAGAGTTGGCTAGATAACCTCTTCAACCCTCTTCATTTCTAAGATCCAGTAATTATTCAACAATTTGTAATTATGAGATCATTCCTCATGGTTAAATCTAAGTAATGGAAGACAGCCTCAAATTGTCTTCTTTCTAACTGAAAGGATGTAGTCTGAGAAAGTGGTAGATATCAACAAAGTGGAATTTCAACAGATTTTAAGTGGCATTATCTCGCACTATAGAAAAATTAGGTCACTTAAGTTTTCAAGTAGAATAATATGTTTTACTTTTGATCTTTGACAAACTCTTAAAAATGAATACTGTAATGATTCATATAACAAGGTAGAATGGAACCTACTTTCTTGATGGATTTCATTCTAACAGAATTTTCACCTGCTCGAAGTCAATTGTATATGCGCTGTTTTTAAATTATTATTTTTAATTGTGGTAAAATGCACATAACATAAAATTTACCACTGTACTAGATAACCTCTTCAACCCTCTTCATTTCTAAGATCCAGTAATTATTCAACAATTTGTAATTATGAGATCATTCCTCATGGTTAAATCTAAATAATGGAAGACAGCCTCGAATTGTCTTCTTTCTAACTGAAAGGATGTAGTCTGAGAAAGTGGTAGATATCAACAAAGTGGAATATCAACAGATTTTAAGTGGCATTATCTCGCACTATAGACAAATTAGGTCACTTAAGTTTTCAAGTAGAATAATATGTTTTACTTTTGATCTTTGACAAACTCTCTTAAAAATGAATACTGTAATGATTCATATAACAAGGTAGAATGGAACCTACTTTCTGGATGGATTTCATTCTAACAGAATTTTGACCTGCTCAAAGTCAATTGTATATGCACTGTTTTTAAATTATTATTTTTAATTGTGGTAAAATGCACATAACATAAAATTTACCACTGTAACCATTTTTAAATGTATAGTTCAAGAGCATTAAGTATATTCACATTGGTATGCAACCATCATCACCATCCACCTCCAAAACTCTTTTCATCTTGCAAAACTAAAGCTCTGAACCCATTAAACACCAACTCCACCGGCCCCTGGCAACTCCCACTCTACTTTCTGTCTGTGATTTTCACTACTCTAGGGACCTCGTATGCATGGAATCATACAGTATTTGTCCTTTTGTGTCCAGCTTATTTCATATACAGTCCTCAAGTGTTATGCATTATTTTTTATTGTGATATTCACTGTATGATACAAAAATAAGCAGACTTTGCCTGTGCTCTGAACACAGAGGACAACCATATTCATCCTATGTGGTGAAAGCATTGACCGTAAAGTTGTATATCAGCAACATCGAATAAAATTATCACATCACACATTTGAAATACACATGCTCTTATTTTAAGCCTCTAAGGCATTCTACTTTCTGTCTGTGATTTTCACTACTCTAGGGACCTCGTATGCATGGAATCATACAGTATTTGTCCTTTTGTGTCCAGCTTATTTCATTTACAGTCCTCAAGTGTTATGCATTATTTTTTATTGTGATATTCACTGCATGATACAAAAATAAGCAGACTTTGCCTGTGCTCTGAACACAGAGGTCAACCATATTCATCCTATGTGGTGAAAGCATTGACCGTAAAGTTGTATATCAGCAACATTGAATAAAATTATCACATCACACATTTGAAATACACATGCTCTTATTTTAAGCCTCTAAGGCATGACATGCTGTGTTTAGTTTAGAAATTAAATTGGAATACAGCAATGAGTTTATTTTTAAACTGAAGATTCTCCTAGGGGGATGAAAGTGAAAATGGGGGAGGGTTCTGGTGTTGGTGTGAAGCCAAGTGTCTATCACTTTGGCAAGGTGCTCCTCAACGTGGCTACTGTACCTTGACCAAGTGAACCATCGCGTCTGTGAAGAACACCATTTCCATGCCAGTGCCGCGGATGTTCTCATTATAGAGCTGCAGGAACATATTCAAACGCTCTTTTAGGTGATTAAAAGATTCGATGGGCTCATAAATTTTGGGCATTTCAACATCAGCCTCCTCAGATGTTTCACCTTTGATGGGGAAGAGGAATGAATTAAGTGTCTTCAAATTGCTGGACTTCACTACTTTCTTCAATCTAGATTAATACACTCATAGCTCTATAATTTAACACTGAATAATACTGATTTTCATCAAAATGCCATATGATGCATTTTTAGAAAAAAGAAGAAAGCAAACAATAGTAGAAGCATTAGGATTTTTGTGATCATATGCAGTCTTAGTTCTTTCCTATCTATAAAGAGCCAAATTCAAATAATGTTGTATTCATTGAATTTAATTTGAACCCACAATTGACTGTCAGCTTTTCAAAGATCCTTCCAGAGATATTAGCCTAATGGTCAGAATGAAAGTGAAAAAAAAAACTAGTTATCTAATATCAAACTTAACAAGAGAGGTAAAGAATTACATAATTTTCTAATAAGATTTTTAAAAAGTCATTGCATTTGCTCAAGAAATGTTTATGATTCAGGAATTTCAGGTTAGTGGTGAGAATACAAATGAGTTTTAGGGAATGTAGTGGATTGAATTATGTCTCCCCAAAACTCACTGAAGCTTGAATTGAGTCCCCCAAGTTTTATGTATTAGAAACTTGGTCCCCACTGTGACTGTTAAGAGGATGGGAAATCTTGTTATGGTAATTGAAAGGTGGAGCTTTGAAAAGGTTATTAGATTGTAGGACCGTGCCGTAGTGAGTGGATTAAAAATGGTGGTCAGGGGTGTGGTTCTGAGGGCTTTAAAAGAAGAGACAGGAGAGTCTGTCTCTCTCTGATCTCTCTGTTCTGCCATTTTCACAATGCGATACCCTGCCGTCATTGTCACCACCACCAAGACCTTCACCAGCTGTGTTCCCTGGATTTTGGACTTCCTAGCCTTAGAAACTGTAAGCAATAAATTTTGTTTTCTTTCTAAATTACCCAGTTCCATGTATTTTGGTATAGACAACAGAAATGGACTAATACAGGGAATGAGGGTGGAGTGTTGAGGAAAAATAGAAAATAATTAAATTATTTCACTAGGAAAAGATGTATTAAAGTCAATATAGTTTTTAAAAATTAGGAACACATAATACACCAGCTTAACACTTTTCCAATGTTGACTATAAAGCATAATGCAAAAAAAAAAAGCCAAATTAGGCATATATAAATTCACTATCAGTTAACATTAGTAACAGGGAAAAATAGTGACACATTCATTAAATATACCAATAACAACTTGGAAATTCTCTGGGTTCTAAAAAAGTGAGTGGGTCTTCCAAATCTTACAGTACTTAATTATTGTCAATTAACCCTGTCCTAATATAAAAGTATGTTAACCTCTTTATGAGAAAGCAAGGAAATTGTTTTACCATAATCATTATGATTGGCCTATTTGCAAAGCTCTCACCAATCAAATTTCGATAGTCACAACTCTTTTCTAAAAGCTCACATCAAGCTTTGAGAAAAAGTGCTTTGAAATCAAAATGCTACGCCTTTGCTTCTAGATCTTCCCCACCCCAAAAATGCAGTAGTTGAGCTTTGTTCCGGGAAAAGCATAATCCAATGATTATGATTTCCTCTAATTTTGAATTAGAGGAAATAAAATGCACAAATTCTAATTACCTTTTAAAATGCCCTTACCCTTATTCGTGTGTTTGACCTAACTTAAAATAAGATGTGTCAGCTTCTTTCTGTGGAAGGATCACTCCAACTGCAAAGCCAGCAATAAACATCCTTTTTGCAATTGTCACTTAGAAACTTTTTATAGATCACACATATCGTTATCAAATCTAGTGGAGGTCTTTTCCAATCATTTAGAAGATATAAATATGTTTTTAACATATCTTTTAAAATATGCAAATTAACTTAAAATCCATCCTCACTATTAGAAGAGGTTATTAAATGAAAGAAAAATGTTCTACTTAAGCCCAGTTATTTCTGATGGAAAAAAAATGAAGCACTGCCTTTTTTCATAAGCAAATTAATATATCTCAACTTTTCACAGAACAATAACCACAAAAGCATGCCTCCACATGACCCATCTCTTTCCAATTATACTCAATGGCTCTGTCATATAATTTGAAGTTTTTCTTTTCATTTTCAACATTCAGGATGACCTGAATAATAATAGTTACCGTTATTTTTGCTACCTTTCAGGTGGCAGTGACTATGTGTCAGAGACTGCCCAAACCATTCTATTGATATCATTTCACCTATTTCCCACAGTAACCATGATGAATATATTAATATTTTCATTTTTATAAATAAGGAGAGTAAGGTTCAAGAAAGTTCAGAGACACCCGTCTAATGTTTGGTACACCCTGTCAAATCTCTCCTATCTGACACAATACAAATCCTCTGTGCTTATTTCTACTTGATCCTGCCTCCCTACTCTACCTTGATATTCAAGTGTGAAATGCATAAAAATAGCTAATCTTTAAACTCCATGATTATGCATTTATCCTCTCATTCTATATTTACTGAGCACCTATTATGCCCCAGGCTTGTTTCACTAAAGTTAACTAGACAGAAACTCAACATCCCTAAACTGAATATTTTATTTTCAGATCCCTCTTTTGGAAATTCCTTTTGGGGAATTTCAAATTCCGTTTCAGTAATTTACCTGTAGCTTCCGGTGCATCCCTCAAAAAGTCCACAAAATAAGCATCAATTCCACAATCCACCAAGAGTTTTTTCTCTTCACCAAACTCTTCCTCTACCAGACTTACTAAAGCTTTATCAAACCAAGTCACGTCATCAGACACCGTAAAACGATCAGCTATAGCACGTTTGCATTCATGCTTCCACAATTTTAACAGTTCCTGTTGAAAGCATAATTAAAATGCATTGTTAATTTCTACTATGCCATAAATGGGAACTCAAGTTAACAACATTGCAGAGTATCATCCTTCCTGATTTAAGATGTAATACTTTAAAAAGTTCAGGTTAAAATATGCTCATCTTCACTTAAAATTGGTCACATAAATAGAAAGTGTAATTTATTCATTGGCAGTCTCTGAATTTAAAAAAGCAAACAAAAAAAAACCCCAACTCAACAAAAATTTCTCTGATCAAGCAACAATCTAATATTCTATGTAACGGTCTTAAATTTGTAATAAATTAGTCTTTTTGGATGACATCTACATTCATGTGGCCAGAGCAAAAATAAAATACAGTGTATGAACCACCATCACGTATACAATGAGATATCACACAGGTATATTTACTTAATACAAAGTGAAAGAAATTTGTGGCAAAAATCTGGGTTATCTGAACCAAGCAATCACCTAGTCCAGATAACCCAGGGCCCAAAGTTAACTGAAAGTTTAGGAAATTAATTGCTCAATCCTCCTGTTTCTATAGCAAAAATAAGAAATATTTGTTTAAGCTCATTATTTAGTCTGAAAGACTGGTGGAAATTTCTTAACTTGGTAACATTTTGCAGGTTAGAAGGTTTTTAAGTAATTGTATAACTAATGATAAAATGATATTTGGCTGCCAGAATATAAAAGGAACTTAGTAAAATACATTCAATGACTCAGTTAAGACAAAAGTTCATGATAAAGCCAGTTGCTACAATTGTTTATGCTGACTTAATATAAGCACTAAACATGGCTACTCAAATAAAGAGTAATATTTAAGATCTGCATTTCATAATTCCTTTAATTTGTCAATAACTTCGAGAGAAAAATCAAGTTAAAATGTTCACTGCTGCTAAATTGACTCTCAGTTCACTGTAATAAGGACAGTGAGTTTTCCCCAAAATGTTTACTCTTCAAGAGTCAGCAACTACGGTTATCTATTTGCAAGCATTTGGGGAAGAGCTCAGGTTTTTTTGGTAGTCAACACTCGATGTTCTCAATGACAATTTTGTTGATATTTCAACTGTCTCTGTGAGTTTAGATAGAAAAGTCCCCTAAAACTTATTTGTTTAATTATCTCCTCAGCTCCTGAAGGGCTGAAAGAGAGAGGCCAATCCCACCTTAGCCTGAGAACAGAACATATGCTTTTGGGAAGAAAAAACAAAAAAACATACTGGATTTTTACATAACGTTCATAGTTTGAAGGGAATTCTCATAACACTGGGAACTGTCACGTTCAAGTGTACAAGCAAATGCTTGTTTTTCTATTAAATAAACTTTCTACTCTGCTGCCTCTTTCGATTTACCAACAAACACAATTCTTTTAGTTCATCTAGTTACATAGACAGGAAAGATCATGGGTGATTAACAACAAAACAGTTTCTTTTCATTGTAAATGTTTATTTATAAAGGTAATTGCTTTTTAAGTAAAATGTCAAGTTTAAAATATGAAGACTATTATATAATAAAATCAATAGTGATTGTTTCCATTATTTAACCATCGCTATTTTTCCATCTTATGATGAAAAAATAAAATTATTTGTTTCTTTTATTCTAGTCATTAGAAAATAATTGTGTATACTATTTCCTTAAACATAAACCCAATTTAATTAGAATTTTTAATTGAAGTTTCCTGACATATTCACTTTTTTTCTTACTTATGTTAGTTGAAAAGCAGCAAACAAAAGAATATCCATACTGAAACATCCCAAAATATTTTTATAATTCAAGTAAAAATTAAATTAATAAAAATATTTAGGAGATATGATTAATAGCAATGTTGCTTGTTTTTCTCTCTTGGGTATCACTTACATCTGGATCCTTGATGACCTCTGAAGTAGTGTTTAGCATTCCCTGCCAGATCCTAGAAAGATCTCGAAGGTTAAACACATAATGAAATTTTGCAGGGGTAGGAAGCATTTTCAGCTTGGTCATCTGCCATAGTTGGCGTGTCAGGGGCACCAGTTTCATCACTGAATCTCTCACTTCCTCTGAGAAGCCCCTCTGGGTACAGTAGTAGCCCACACCAATCACACCTGAAAAGGGGGAAAATCATATCACCTTGACCAGCCATTCAACTAAACTTAATTAAAATGAAAAGCACTATAGAGTTTGAACAAATGTAATTATACATGTTAATAGATAACCACATATTTCAGAAAATTATATTAATTGATGTTCTCTTGCTTTTTCAAATACCAAAAAAATAGATACAGGTTAAAGTAAGTTATCATTCAAAATACTGAAAAGCTGATTAAGAAATACTACTAAAAATTATCAATTCAATATCATTAAATAGGTAACAATGACAAATAGATAAATTTGCCTTATAAAAAGATAAGAAAAAGGTTTTCAAGTCTTCTAAGTCTTCTCCATTCTGTTGTTGCCTTTCCATGCATTAAAATTTTTTTCATTTATTGTATATGTAAAATATTCCAGGCAATAAATAAATTTGCCTTATAAAAAGATAAGAAAAAGGTTTTCAAGTCTTCTAAGTCTTCTCCATTCTGTTCTTGCCTTTCCATGCATTAAAATTTTTTTCATTTATTGTATATGTAAAATATTCCAGGCAATAAAGAATAGAAATGATCACATTCATTCTTTCTGACCCACTTTACTTTTCCCAAGTTTGGATCATTCAAATGTCAGTTGGATTTCAAACCTTGCCTGCTGCTGCCATACTCCACTAGCCTGGGGCACTTAGATGACATTTTAGTCTGCCAGAAATTAATTAGAGTAATCCTAATGAGTTTTCTTCTCAATAGTAATTTCAAAAATTGTAAATTGAGGGCCGGCCCGGTGGCGCACTGCTACAGTGCAAGTGGCGCACTGCTACAGTGCGCCACTTGGGAGCGCGATGGCGCTCCCGCCAAGGGTTCGGATCCCACATACAGACCAGTTCCCGCTCACTGGCTGAGCCGGTGGCGCACTGCTACAGTGCACCACTTGGGAGCGCGATGGCGCTCCCGCCGAGGGTTCGGATCCCACATACAGACCGGTTCCCGCTCACTGGCTGAGCAAGGTGCGGGCGCAGCACCGAGGGTTGCGATCCCGTTGCCGGTCCCGGTCCGGTACAGGCGTGACACTGAGGGTTGCCATCCGTTGCCGGACACGAAAAAAGACAAAAAGGAAAAAACAAATTGTAAATTGATACCTAACATGAATGTTCATAATTTTACACTCTTTTTAGGCAAAAAGTAATTCCAAAATCAGTCATAAAAGCATTTTAATTTCTCAGTTAACATACATGGTTACTTGCTGGGATAGTGGTTCTTCAGTTAAATTATCTCTGAAATACTACGTATTTCATCAATCAATAAATTATTACAATCCCAAAGATTATACTGTGGCAAATCTCTGCTCTAGGTGCCAATATTTATTTGACCAAAAACATGATATGGGTTGGTTAAAGTATCAGCTACATAAACTTTTGACGTGGAATATAACAATTTAGGTCTCAACTATGTGTGTCAATGAGGAAATAATCTCATTTATGAGGAAACAATCTCATCCCCATGCTCATTTAATGTTTAACCTCCTTGCTTAAGAAGCTAGCAGCAATTCAAGAAAAGCATAGGCAGAAAAGATCTACCTAGGCATCCAATTCAGTACTCAGCTCCAATAAATCCCTATATGAAACAAAATGCACCACTTGAGAGTAAAGAGGGCTATAGACTAAGGAGCCACCCAGTGGTCTTTCTGTGTTGACCTCTGGGTGGATATTTCCTTACAGGAACACGGACAGGTGGTTTTCCCTCCCCATTCCCCACTGATATTCATTTTACCAAAGATCTTGTCCATGGAAGCATCGGAGGGCAATGTGCAGTTAAATATAGAGAACTGCCTCTTGAGTCTCTGGGGTATGTCATTGCGTCCACCTCCAGGATGGATCATGGCTGCCAACAACTGGATGTCCACGATGCTGGTGAACTCCCCAGGCTTTTCGAGGTTGTAGAATCCATTCTGTTCCATCAGCTGTCGTACTATCTCATTAGTAACCTACGAAAGACAACTTTAAGAATTAAAACATCACTCCTTCATATCCCCGGACTCTAACTCATTGAATATTTCCAAAGAATGGACATTATTGGAATTCAGGAAGTGCATCTTTAAAAAGTAGAAAGTATTTGCTTATCAAAGAATAAATCAATGCTGAGTTAAAGAAATAAAATGCACAATAGGATCAATATACCTGATCTCCCCACTCATTGATTATTGGCATATTCACATCATCAATAAAAACAGTCATCTTCTTTCCTGCAGGAGGGCCATATGTTGTACCCATGCGTTTATCCAGGTAGCTCTCTATTGTCCTCTGTTGAACAAGAAAGCCAACAGAAACATCTATCAAAATATCTCCTAAAACATGGACAATTGTTTAAAAAAAAACTGGGAACCTCTGAATTGACAAGAATCACCTAGAAGAGCCAAAATTTCCCCCTTAATTCTGGCAAACAAGTTCTACAGTACATAAATTATCCTGCATAACATTCACAGCCTTCGAAAATCTGGTTTGCTTTCCATGGTTTCAGTTATCAGCAGTCAACTGCAATCAAACTATTAAGATATTTTGAGAGTGAAAGACCACAGGCCACATTCACGTAACTTTTATTACAGTATATTGTTATAGTTGTTCTATTTTATTATTAGTTATTGGTGTTAATCTATCACTCTGCCTAATTTATAAATTAAACTTTATTACAGGTGTGCACGTAGAGGAAAAAACATAGTATACATAGGGTTTGGCACTATCTGCAGGTGTAGGCATCCACTGGGGGTCCTGGAATGTGTCCCAGTCAGATAAGGGGGGACAACTATAGGTAAAATTCTAATCAATGTATATTTTGAATGAGAGGAGACTCTGCTGTCCATTTCTAAAGATTTAGTTTTGTCTTATTGTGCCTATATTGATGACTCTATAAGTCCATTATTCAAAGACCCCAGTCCTGCGAAAAGTTTCCCTATAACCAGAGATAAAGTTAAACAGAGCTACTGTGTGAGAAGCAGCGTGGGTCTGTGCTCTAAGCTAACTGTACAGCCTGCATCAGGCTGAGGCTGCTCTCTTCATGCAGAAGGCCGCCGACGGCTGCTGTAACCTGACACAATCCAGACCCTCTCTTTGGGGCAGATGCAATCACTCTGAGTCACTTCTCTTCTCCTGGCACAAAATGGGGAATGAATCCCACCTGTGTTGTCTCTCTCATTTCTACATTCTGAGCTCAGGTGGTACAGGAGGAGACCACACTGTACTGTATAAAAACCTTCTTGGCAATATGGAAAAGAATATTCAAACTGATGGGGCATTAGAAGGGGTAGGAAGGATGTGGGGGAAGGACCCCAGACTTTTTTTTTTCCTTTAAATTTTTATTTTGTCAATGTACAATGTAGTTGATTATTACGACCCATCACCAAAACCTCCCTCCCTCCTCCCTCTCCCCCCTCCCACCCAAGAATGTCCTTTCCGTTTGCTTGTTGTAACAACTTCAAGTATCCTCACGTATCTATCCATTTGGGGATGTTTGGAAAACTATGCTTGGAGTGGTATCTCCAAGTGGACTTTCCCACCTGGATGCTTCAGAGCATCACAAAAATCCACATGTCCAAACATAGACGCTTACTTACTCACCAGAAAGTCTTCACCCCTCCTAGATGCTCTGCTCAGACACTGGCACCAACTACCTCTTTGTCTCACCCAAACATTTCCACATCTAACATCAC